AAGGGATATAAATATTATGTCTCACAAAAAATTGTGTTGATCCATACACTTTTCAATAAATTATAGCATTATAAAGTTAAAAATTTTAAATATAAAATCGAGAATTTTAACACAAAAATAGCATACAGTAGGCATTTTCACCGTAAAGATAAAATAAAGTCCAAAATTTTTTTTGCATAATAAAGTAAATTACATTAGCTTTAATTTAAGATATATATAAAAGTGTCAGACTTTCCGGAACATTTTAAAAATTTAAAAGAAAAAAGTTAATTTTTTGTGAAAAAGTTGTTATTTTAAATCCCTCTGTGGGCAGGTAAAGGNTCATTTTGAATCCTCCCTGTAGGCAGGCAAAGGGTCAGATTTATAAAAAAATGTTATATAGATTCAATAAAGAAATTTATTGCAGTTTTAAGTAAAAAAAATTAAAAAATGTCGAAAATTAGCGATTTTTACATTTGTAATTTTTTGGAGGATTTCCCCCATTTACAGGGTACGAGAGAAACGTTTTTAATTTTTGAAGGTAATGTCTTACTAGATGCGATTTGTGATCTTTAAATGTTATGTTCATCAAAATCGGTCCAGCGAGAGTTGAGATTGAGCGTTCACAGACACAAAAAAATATAGCTATAAAACACTATATATTTTTTTAATTAAAAGCTACAAAATCTACAAATTAATAAAATAACCCCCTAACCCCTCTTTAATTACCCCTTAATTACCAATTTCCCCCTAACTACTCTTTTAGTAAACCCCTTAATTAATATTCCCCCTAACTACTGTTTTAGTGTACCCCCTTAATTACATATTTCCACCTAATTACTCTTTAGTATACCCCCTTAATTACATACTTCCCCCTACCTACTCTTTATTATTCACCCTTAATTATTAACTACTCTTAAATACTTTTTTCTCTCTCCCTTATTACTATATTTCACAACCTTAATTACTAATTATTCCTATTTTCTCTCCCTTAATTACCAGTTATTATTATAATGCTTCCTAAATACATATTACTACTAATTTATTACACCCTTAATACTAAGTACTATTGGTTTATACTAATTACCATTATTCTGCAAAGAAATTATAATAAACAAAAATATACTTTTCTTTTTCAACTTGAAAAAACGCTGTTTTTAAATCTCCAATTAGACTTTTTTTATCACTTTTAAGTTTTGATAGTACTACTTATTATTAAAAAATAAAAATTGACATAAATAAAAATTGTTTTACATTAATACTGATTTTAATTATTAATATGTTAAAAATATGAAAAATGACATATTTAACCTATTTTGTTAATCCTTTAAGGTTGATTTTTGTGAAAGTTTATGATAAAAAATCCCAGCACAGAGAGGTCGCGGTACAGTGTTGACGTGGTATAATTGGATCAAGTATAATGATATCTGACAGTGATTAAAATTACTAAAAGAAAAAAACGCTTCGATGCAAATCTTTAGATAGTGTTTAATTTAAAAAAAATTGTGGATTATTCCAAAAGCTATATGATCTGCTATTTTCTTATTAATATCCTGAATGAAAAAGGGATTATTAAAAAATATTATTTCTTATAAAAAATTGTGTTGATCCATACACTTTTCAATAAGTTATAGCAAAAAGTTAAGTTGAAAAAATTCTCCTTTCTATATGCATTTTTATGTTTTGAACCCCCCCCTGTATTAAGGGAAATAGTCCGATTTAAAAAAAAAGTATGTCAAATGAAAGATGTATATAAATACTACTTCTCATGAAAAAATTGTATTGATCCATACATTTTTTAAAAAGTTATAGCACTTTAAAGTAAAAAATGTAAATTATAAAATCGAGAATTTTCACACAAAAATAGCATTCGGTAGTCATTTTCACCATGAAGACAAGTCCAGAGGTCAAATTTTTTTTTTTAATAATAAAGTAAATTACATTAGCTTTAATCTAAGACATATATAAAAGTGTCAGACATTCCAGAACATTTTCAAAAGTTAATTTTTTGTGAAAAAGTTGTCATTTTAAATCCCCCCTGTGGGCAGTTAAGGGTCAAATTTACAAAAAAAGTATACCAAATAATAGATAAGGATATCAAGCATCTAAAAAAAAATTATATTGATATGTTCATTTTTGAAAAAGTTACGGCAATTTTTAGTAAAAAAAATTAGCGTTTTTTAAATTTGTAATTTTTTTGGAGGTTTCCCCCATTTAGGGGGAACGAGAGAAGTTTTTTCAATTTTTAAGGGTAATTTCTTCGACTAGATACGATTTGTGATATTTTGACGTATCGTTGAAAGAAATCCGTTCGGTGAGAGCTGAGAAAAGGTGGCAACAAAAAAAAAAAAATACATCATAGTAAAACCAATACCTTTTCAGCTTCGCATCGAAGCTAATATCAGATACTGTATTTTGACGTTGTATAGTTTAACTCTATTTAAATGATAAGGAACTCAATTGGATCAATTTTTTGATCATAATTTATCTAATTTTTTAAATCTAATTTTATATTTAACAGTATAACAAACTATTATGTTAGTTATATTTATGGTTAGTTATTTATCAATTATTTATTCTTTTTAAAAAGATAAAAATTATCGCGCCCTAATTTTCTTCATATTTTTAGTATTAAAATTTAATATTTTTTATGTACTCATGATAAGACAAAAAACTTTACATGAAGAATAACGTGTAGCATCCTATGCAATAGAAAAGATTATGAAATTAACTACACAATAAAATTTAAATAATATTTAATGAAAAGTTACAAATGTTTAAATCTATTAATATTATTTTTTTTAGAAATTTTTTATGAAAAGTGGAATTTTCGTTTTAAATGTGATTTATATGGTAAGTATACATTGATATATATATATAAATATATCATATTATTGAATAATGGAGCTGAAAACATTGGCAAATTTTAATTCTAACCATTATTATATTAAAATAATTCTAATTAATATTATGTGTCTCATAAACATTTACATAGATATACAATATTTAAATATGAATATGCTTGATAAAAAAAAAATTATATGTATCAAATATAATTACATTTTGTAAATATTTCATTACAATTCTATATTAAATGTGCCGACGGCGTTAATTTTATTTATCATCTACAGAATGATTTTTTTATCATAACCCACTCAATTACTTACACAATAATAATAATTAAAATTTTTTTTTTATTATTATCTTTAGTTACACATTATTCTTGAATTATTAACTATGTAATACTTTTTAAGTTCATCCTTTATGCCTTGGAAGGGGGTCAACTTTGTTTTTTTAAATGGTAACACATATTTTTAATTTAATAAAATGTTTGAGTTTTTAATTTTATAGTAAATAGCATTTGAATTTTTAATATAATTTTATTAGCTTATTAGATATAAACATTTAAAGTTTAAAATTTTTGAGTTAATATATAGGTATAATACACAAGGAATTACAAATACAGATAGCTAATTGGATTTTTATGATATTGCTATCACAGTCACGGATTGTTTATTATCAATTATGACTATCAATAGATATACTTNTCACAGTCACGAATTGTTTATTATCAATTATGACTATCAATAGATATACTTTTTGTATTGTCAGTTAGTGTATTTATAAACTCACAACAATGTACCTTACTATCATTGATAATAACAATGCTGTGTACCTGCTAATATCGATGTCATAAAAAATCAATTAGCAACCTGTATTTGTAATCCCTAGTGTATTATACCTATATATTAACTCAAAAATTTGAAACTTTAAATGTTTATATCTAATAAACAAATTAAGTTTTATTAAAAATTCAAATGCTATTTACTATTGAATTAAAAACTCAAACATTTCATTTTGGTATGAAAGCAAGGTCAGACTATATATATTTGTTTTGTCTAAATATTAATTTGTTAATATATTTATGTTGTATTTTATTATATTATTTTAATTATAAGTACTAACCATAGATATAAAATAAGTCATTGTATTTATCGTATTGGATGATATATAACAGGGAAAATAAATTACAGCTCACAAAACTTCATTTGTATTTTATTCTTTTTTTATTTTAATTTAAAGGAAACACGAGAGAAGCGATTTAACTCGGCGAGTGGTTATTGCGTCGCACACATAGAATATAAAGTTAAACTTGTTTCAATTTTTTTTTCTTTTAAATGAAAAAAATTAATTTCAACACTTGAATCAGCTTAAATTGTCAATTTTATCAAAAAACGAATGCGACAAACGTTTGTCGATTTAGTAAAAATTATTGCCTAAGGCAATTATTATTTTGCAATTTTTCCTTAACTCTTTTTGAGTTAGAATTTTGCTTTTGAATAATCCACCAATTTCTTGAAATTAAACACTATCTACAGATTTGCATTGATTTTAATCACTGTCAGATATCATCTATATTGGGCCTAACTATGCAACACTCACACTGTGCCCCGACCCCACTGTGCTGCCATTTTTTTTTATTCAGATAGTGAAAAATTGTTTAGCGATATTCATATTGATGGGCCACAATTATAAAGATGTTATCAACCATTTAATAACATTTAATTACTTTACTATTATTGCCAAAAACGAGAAATATAACGTTTTATAATAATTTTCATGTAATTATAGGTATTTACCCTTTACCTGCTCACAGGGAAAGATTCAAAATGATAAATTTTTCAACTTGATTATTTTACGGAACTATTGACACTTATATATATATACAGGATGGCCCAGCACTCACTGACAACTTAAATAACTTTTGATCCAGTTAATATTTTTAGCTGATTTTTTTTTTAAATAATAGTAATACGTTAGGTCTATAGCTATATCTCAATAATTAATTTTTTTACATTTNGTCAATAAATGTTTATCAAAGAAAATTTATCAACTTCTTGATTTTAAATATTTCTTAAGTATTCTGTAGTCCTGACCACTATATATCTTTTTGTTTGTCCTACTTTTTTAGTTTTAAATTAATATTTATATATATTCTTAATTTTAAATATATTAGCTATAAGTGATCAATTATTACTATATCTATATTATAACATTTATCACATAGATTTATCATACATTTCGAAATTAAATAATGCAGGTAATAACGAATTATATATTTTTCTAATTATTTAACCCAATTTCTTTATAAATACAAAACTGTTTAATAGAATCAAGTATTGTAGCTGTCTCCAATATAACATTCTTATTTAATTTTCTAATATTTTTTTGTTAGATGAAAATCTTTATATCTATGACGGCGAAGAAGATATAATTTACTACTCTATCACAAGTAATTAATTAAACAATTTCTTATACATTTTGTAAAGCAATGAATTCAACTAATGACTTAATTTTTTTTTCACTTTTTACTGCCAATTGTGGCCTTCTCTAAGAAAAAGTAAGGTTTACGGACTGCACAAAAACTCGCACAACATATATTTGTATATATACTTATACATAATTATTTTGTTGAAACATTTTAATTTAAATAATTGAAAAAAAAGGAAGTTTCTTAAATATGTATACTCCGGGATGGGCGGTTAGTCAATCGCCAAAGAAAGGGATGGCAACTCCAATCAATAAACTTAATTTTCGTTCAGAAAATGGAGACATCGTGACCAAGGCTCGAACCCGAGACATTTTGCATCAGGCACTGCCGCGTTACCGAATCAGCCATATCGTCCCAGCATATACTTAATGTTGGATACACATCGGTCGAATATACTGTCATAAAATTGTGTTGTGATTATTCATGTTATCGTTGTGTTACATCGAGTGGTTGTTGGTCTTCTCTCTATGTCTGCATTGTCGCCGCCATCTTAACGCTTCTTTTGCTATAAGCTCTATGATGCTTGCAAGCCACTAGTTTTGTATTCGTTTTGTTGTAAAAGTAAAATATCACCTTAGTGATTATCATACCCTGTGCTCTCAGTTTATCGCCGTTGGATCTATATATTTTCTGAGATACATCACAGTACCGTTCACAGTATATTGTACATGTTGGCCAGCTACTTGTGTCGACATCAATTGATCATTCAATATTCAACATTATCATCAGCCGTTTCATTTAGCAGATAACTATAATGCTTGTTCATCTATCTTTCTAAGACTCACTAGTATATTTTATTATTTTTTTATATCATCGTCTTAGTGGCATTAGTATTAAGTGTTCCTCCCATCCACATTGGTGTATATAAGATTTATATTTCTTGTATATTACATTTAATTGTTATAATTATATTTTGTAAAATTCGTTCTACATTCAAACATGTATGTTATTCCTTATCATTATTCCTATCACCTTATTCCTTAACCTCAGCATAGCTACAAAGACTTAGGACAAAATAAAACCACGAACGTTAACGAACTCGCATAAATACTACTGGGCGCTGCATACACTTTTAAAAACCAAATTAATTTTTTAATTTTAATGTCAAAATACATAAAATTCAAATTTTTTAGATTATACTTTGGATTATATGTATAATAATGACATAAATGGTAAGTAAATTAGTAATGTTTTGTTAATTCCCGGTATTCTTAACTTTTATTTTATTTGGATGAATAGAGTTAAAGAAGTTTATATACCTAATTTTTTACAATTTTACCCTATAAATATAGTCTGGAACTATATACATAATTAAATATATAGAACTAAGCACGTTACACTTTTGTGAAAACTCGATTTTTATCACAATACTCGATATAGTGACTATGTACATTTTTCTAATCATTAAAACTAACTAACTAAAGTAACCCTATTGACCCTTTTTAATAATAATATATTAATTTATTGGTTTGGTTTGTAGAGGAATTTTTCANTTTATTGGTTTGGTTTGTAGAGGAATTTTTCAATGAAGCAGTAAAAAAAAGAAATGCTATTATGAAAAAAATGTTAATTGATTACCTGAATATTATAAACAGTAAGATTTATTAATTATTACAAATAATAAATATTATTAATAATATTTATATTTCAATTAAGATGTTACGCAATGTAATCAATGATAACCTTTTTTAATTTTAATTTTTATGACAATTATATTATTTTTTACATTAAGTCACTTTTATCAATGTAAATTGAATATATTTTTAAATGTATTTTAAAATTATAAAAGATAAAAATTAAAAAAAGAAAGAGATTATACAATCAAAATTGAACACTTATAGAGAATATTATTTATAATTCAAAACATTGATTTAAAACTAAAATTATTTATTTCAAAAAGTAAAGGTTGCTGACTACTGCTCAATCCCTCTAATTAAAAACCATACCCATTCCAATGAATAATTGGGAAAAACCATATTAGGGATGACTTTTTATGAAAAGGGTTGGGTTAGATATATCCATAAGATATTTGTATAAATAATCTATTTTTTAATATTATTAGTTAAAAGAAAAAATTTGATAAAAAAAATTAAAATTTTAGATTTAAAAAATCGGAATACTTAAGGGGATTTCCTTATTTACTGGGAAAGAAGAAAATTTTTTGAAATTTTAAGGGTAATGTTTTCAACTAGATACGTTTTGTGAACTTTTGACTTATCATTGGAAAATATCGATTGGTGAAAGATGAAAAAATTGTGATATACATAAAAAAATAAAAATTTTAACACATTATAATAATATTAATACTGTTTTACATCAAAGCTAAGTAACATATAATTTTTATGCAAATTAAAAGAATTTTACAAATTTGACTAAATTGTGTTTTATAAACGTGGCTAATTTATTCAAATATTATTTTTTTCTTTTTTACTAATCATTAAGTATAAATTAAAAAAAAAAAAAAATCATCCTAATATTTCTTTGTATAATTGATTCTTAGAATCAATTTGAAGAAAAGTTAAAGTGCTAATAGTTACGTAAAAATATTCAAAACATTATTTTTAGATCAATAAAATCTTTATTCGGAAGGTATCGGTAGTGTTAAAATTTAAAAGAATACCTAATAAATAGTTTAAAATAAATCTATTTATTTTATTTAAAAATGTTAATATGAATTGTTTTACCATGAAGTTATTGTATGACTAAACACAATTTATTTATAATTTTATTTTATTTCAGAAAAACAATTGTGTAAGGATGAAAAAGAAATAAGTAAAGTTTGTGATCTGATTAAAGCATTAGAAGTTAATGATCGAAATATTTTCTACAATTCTAAATATGGAGATGATGTTATACCAAGCATTTTATACCTTTACTATTGTTAATAGAAAAAATAATTTTTTTAATCTGTATTCTTTCTAACTATAATTCTAAGAAATGTAAGATAGAAAAATTCTAAATATTATTGTATAATTTACTTTGCCACATTTAGGTTTTTTACATATCCTATAAAACATTTAATAATCAATATTATATGAAAGTTAATCCTACTTGAAATGAATAGAAACTTTATTGGTTGGTATTAGTTGGTAACACACCTACATAGTCTATTAAATATGGCTTTGCATAATTATATTTACATACACCAAATTTTATGTGATATAAATATACATCACCTTTTTTTTAAGCTTAAATTATACTTTTTTAATAAATAATATACGTTGTTTGAACATTATTTATGTTTTTTTTATTAATTAATTAATAACACAGGTCTAGGAAAAATGTTTTGTTGTCTATCATACATAAATTAATTCTGAATAAAATTTTGTTAAAAAAAAAATTGGCTCCCTATATTATAGTTATTAATACTTTGTACGTACCACAATTTTTTATATAAAAATTTTTTTTGTTAAAGTAATAAACGGGACGTGTCATTTGTTTTAATTACTTATATCGCCTACTTTATTTACTCTTCACCATATCTTGCATGCTTTATTCCTTAAAACTTCACATAACAAAAAAGAAATAGAAATAAGGCAAGGTATGAATATTCCGTTCAACTGTTCACTCCTCTCCTTTCTTCTTTTTTTTTTGTTTATTACAGCCCATGAATGTGAAAATTAAATAAGGCAAAAAACTTTTAAGTCAGAGTACGAAGATTTGGAAAATGATAATATAAAAGAGAATAAGAAGTGCATACATCGGCAACTAAAAATCAGTTTGGTTTTTTGTCTAGAAAGTCAACGATGGAGCAGTTATTTTGTGTGAGATAGGTAATAGAAAAGTATAAGTAGAAATTGAAAAAGCTTTGCATGGTGTTCATAGATTTTAAGAAGATGTATGACAGAGTCCAGAGAAGTTTTAAAATGCGAGTTAATGAGAAAAGGAGTTTTAAAAACGTATATTGATGTTCATGAGAATATGTACGAAGGCGAAAAGGACAAAAAGTATGTTTGGTGAAACAGGATTTCAGGGCAAAAGTAGGTGTAAATTAAGGTTCTGCTTTAAAGTAGACAAGTAGTTGAGATAGAGACGAGGAAAAAGAAGAAGATTGCTATAAGTAAATATCGTAGATTTCTTTAGTTATTATTACTTTATCGATAAATATAGTCAATTTAATACTAAGTAAAAGTATCGATACAATTCTTCCGATATAACATTCCTATTTGTAAGAGTTACTAAATCGCAAGTAACATGAGTTTGGTTGATTTATTTGTACACAAACTAATCGTAATGGACAAACTAAACAATTTGATTGTAAGAAATGTAAGATAGAAAAACTTCTGTTTGAATACACTAGTGCAATATAGCTTTTAATCACTCTGTATATGTGATATCTACTTATTATAAAGTCTTCCTCAGAGCTAATTAATATATTTAGAGCGAATTGAGTAAATGAAAACAACATGTTTTATAAGTGGTGATAACATGGTAATAAATGTTCTAAGACATGATAGTACTAAACTGAAATTCAGTAGAAAATAAATCGTAATCGTTAAAATAACCTTAGAAAAAATAAATATGCTTTTATATTACCAGTTGGTGTATTCATAGGCTCATAACAATGTTTCTTGCTTTAAAGTATATCTGTTAATAAAGTCGCAATTGACAATAAAAAATCCGTGACTGTGGTAGCCATGTCATACAAAAATCAATTAGCTACCTGCATTTTTAATTCCCCGTGTATAATACATGTATATTAACATAAATATTTAAAATTGTATATCTAATTAACGAATTAAGTTATATTAAAAGTTCATATATCATTTACTATTAAATTAAAAATTCAAACAATTTATTAAATTCAAAATAAATGTTTCCATTTAAAAAAACAAAGTTGACAATTTTATAAGGCATAAGGAATGAACTTAAAAAATATTACATAGTTAATAATTCAAAACTAATATGTAACTAATGATAACCAAAAAAAAAAAATTATATTTATTCTGATAGCAATTTCGTAGATTAAAATAAAAAAATCGAAGTGGCACAGTTGGGTTAAATATAGATGATGTCTGACAGTGAATAAAATCATTTTCATGAGAAACGCTCCGGTGCAAATCTGTAAATAGTTTTTAATTCTAAGAAACGTATGCATAATTACAAAAGCAACATTAACTCTTATTTTCTTAATTATATCCTCATTAGCAGTTCTTAGATTTAAAATTAATATGAATAATATTTTTTATAGCAATGAAATATAGTATAAAATGCATATTTAATATTGTAATTTTGACGAAGAAATACTAAAAAATGATATTGTAGTATATTTTGTTACTTCTATGACAAACATGTACAAAAAAAGGGGGCTTTATGCAATACTTTATAAAAAATTTTTTTTTTACTTACGAATAAATATATTAGTCTAAAATGAACTTTTATAGGATCAAAAATATACTTTTCAAAATAAACTTTTCGACTCCAAGTAATTGGGATTAAGGCAAAGAAAAAGAAAAAGATTAGCGGAAATTCCGGTGGCAATTGACATAATATAATTGTTGTTTGGGAATGTAAAATTTAGCGTTTAGTTGGGTTTAAACAATATAGCGTCAAATCAATTACCTACTCTATCGGTTGTATCTTAATATACATTACACTTTAATGATACTATAAATAAATATACTCACACATACACACATATGCATTTATAACATTGTGTCTAATGTAAGTATAACATGATAAAAAGTAACCGTAAAATGAAAAAAATTGGAAAATAAATTTTAGTACTCACATTAAATGTAATGTAACTCGAAAAATATTTGTTTAAATGAAAAAATATAAGATAGTTTTTTTGTTTAAAATTGTCTTTTAAACAACTTTTGTACGAAATTTTTTTTTGTAAGTTAAATATTTTTTGAAAAAATTTAAAAAGCTCATATTTTTGAACTTTTGCGAGGCTGTAAAAAAAAAAGCTTAAGTCCAATCGATGAGGACTTTTAGTATGTCATTATACAAATCTTAATTCAACTTTAAAAAAAAAAAAAAATTTGGTTGAGAATTTTTTCCGCCATTCGCCAAAATTACTCCTTCATTGACTGGCCTATAATTTTAATCCCATGCTTTATTCGTGTAACACGAATATAAACTAGATCAACATATTTAACTCAATTATATTGTTTTTTCTTAGGTATTCTTGTTATGAGAGTTCTCCGCGGTACTCTGCATAATTGGCACCTTTTAATAAGTTGACTTGGGTATTTGGGTGGGTCGTCGTCGAGTGAGTACTGTCGTCCACCGCAACACAGGAACCTTCTCGTTTTTCAGGTATGGGTTTCTTAGGCCCTTTCTATCTCCTTCCACCTCTGTTCAATTCCTGATATCCGTGTCTAGGCTATTTAATGACGAATAGACCTGTCCTACCTCTGTTTCCCATTAGTTTTCATTATCAGATATCATTATACTGTGCTGGGTTGTTTAACTACAATCAATACAATTTTTTTATGAGAAATAATATTTGAGCCGTTCGCTGCAATAATGACCTAAGTGACAAAT